TTGCATTGGCTTCATGTGTCAACTGAAATGGCATTGGCTTCATGGGCAGTCGGTTGCAGTGGCTTCGGTTGGGGTGTCAACACTGGGAAGAAAATGTGTCAACTCATCGCCAGGTTCGGCTTCGATCCCACTTCACTGGTGCTCGGGAGTCCCCGACGCTTCACTGAAATCTCTCCGCCTTGGACGGCTCGCAGCCAACGCAGCCGGCGCAACGGTGGGGTCACAGCAACTTGGCCCGCACAAAGGTCAGCGGCTGCCACGGATGTGTGGATGGTGTCAGACTTGCCAGGAAAATCCGTGCCCAAGTCGAATGCTGCCAGAACATCCATGAATGCAATAGTCATGGCACTTAATTACACCAGGGACCAGGGCCAATAAATGGGGCAACGGATGGCAACATGTCATGTAACAATTCCAACATGGATGCCATGCGACTTGTCGTTCACTACATCGGGGACATTCAAGGCTTCAACGGATGACAGCGGACGTCTGGCGAAGACGACAGCGGACGTCAGGCAAGTTTTGCGCTTCTTATTTGATGAATATGGGAAAACATGGGAAAATCATCCCTGCTCGAATGATAAACAACGTAGAAATCCGGTGCGACTGCGTTTTCGTCTACACTATATATGTATTTGTTAATAGTATGTATAGAATGGAAGTGTAAAACTATGGTCCCTGTGAAGAATCCTCGTCATATGATTCGAACATTTGCATAGGCATAAGAAGAAAAATAAGAAACAGGTTGACCACTATAGGTTGACCTCGCAAAAAGGCCCGTTTTAATCGTTTTAAAGAGAAAACATGAGTAAGAGGAAACCACCCATGCTAGCACTCCATGTATGCCATATATGCCTACATTGACCCCCAAAACCACCCCATGCTAGCCACACTGAGACGTGTCTCTTCGGTCTCTTTTCGTTTTGGGGCTTCCCTGGCTGTAGATTCGCGCTGGCTCTGCGGAAGAGTGCCTCACACGATCGGCGATCGGCGGGCGATGCGATGGCTGGGCGAAAGAGAACAGTGTGAGGTGGTCTGAGACACTCTACCATGTGAGCGGGAGGGGGTTCATTTGTAATTTATCTCTGTCATTTAGCCTATGCAGTGCAATGAAAGCCAGGCATATTTTAAGCAGCACTTTGCTATTACCGAGCCTCGCTAGCGAGCAAGGGTGTAACTCTTATTATAATTGGATCGAACAAGCCATCGCATGTTCTTGTTGTTGGTGGTTTTTGCTTGTAGGTTGCTGTTGGATGTTGTTGGTTGTAGGTTGTAGGTTGTGGTTGTGGTTGTTGCTGTTGTTGTTGGTTGTTGGTTGTTGGTGGTTGGTTGTTGGTTGTGGTTGTGGTTGTGGTTGTTGTTGTTGTTGCTGTTGTTGTTTTCATCAGGACAGCTTCAAGTAGAGCACAAGCAATTCTCCGCCAACATGGAACAGTTTCCAACTTCACAGGCAGTAAAGGCCGCAAGCATGAGAAAGGTCGAGCTGCAGCTCCCAAGCCCCGGGTCGTCGAGCAGTGCCCAAGACCCAGTTAGTTGAGCTCAAATTCTTCTGACTATAGTTTGGAAGTTTGGACGGTGACTAGTGCTTCTTGATTCCTTGAGGGAATCACTCCTTGACAAAGCCGAAGGAACTGCTCGTGACCGGGAGCCTAAGCCAGCCATGCGGTGTGTGCTCTCAGCTACGGAGGGTGTCAAGGGAGTGAGATGCTGGACTACAGTGGTTTCAGAGGCTTGATGGCACATGCACCCCTACATGTCCTAGACGGATGGGGGTTCATATGTATATATATATATATAAATATTAATATATATATATATAAACGACCTGTTCCTTGGGTAACTTGTGCCATTTCTCACCTCTGAACCCACTGTCACCTCAGAAGTCTCTGTATAGACGCGGAAGGGTGTCAAAGGAGCTGCCCATCCTCCCCCCAGCCTTGAGATTCTTGGGCTCCTCGGCGAGCACCTCAGGAAGACACCGCCGGGTGCTCAGGGCTCCCTCACGAGCCGAGCTTCCGTTTTTGGTGCTTACGATATTGACAGGATGACCTGCTAATGGAGGGTACCCGGCTACACCCCATAAAGCATTGGTAACATAGCTAAGCATGTCCGCTTTCCCTCACACTTTTTGAAGTGCAACTGGACTCATCTACTCGCGGGCATGTCATCAAAAGGTCTATGGTTGTATAACTGGAATCCTCATTTCATCACATTTCTACTTTTTGTCGTGCTTGCTTCTTTGTTCCACTCGCTTCTTTGCTCGCTTTTCGCCCGATGTGGCCCCCCCCAATGGCACGTCTCCGCCGGCTTCGCCCATCCACCGGAGACCCGCCGAAGCCCATGTCCATCTCGGGCCGGGCCCTCCAGGCGTTATCACAGGCGATTTTGGCACCATAGAAGTCTCCCAGCTTCAGGAGACCTTGGTAACGGCATCGCGGCGAACAAGTGCCTTACTAGTAACTTAGTAGTAACAAGAAGCTACAAGTTAGCTAAGGAGGGCATTGCTACTAGTAACAAGGTCGCTACTAGTAGCTCCTGGCATTACTAGCAGTAACAAGAAGCTACTAGTAGCTAAGGAGGGCATTACGTAGCAAGCTAGTTTAGTCATCCAGCTTCAGGAAACCGTTCCTGAGCTGGTCTTTCAGAGTTGGTGTCATGGCGGTCATGGACCAGGACCGCGGATCAAATGAAGCGATTCCTCTACAATGGTTTCAAAGGCTCGATGGCACTGGCGCCCCTACATGTCTTAGACAAATGGGGTCCATATAAACCAACGACATTGGTGATTGTGCCATCGAACCTCTGAAACCACTGTAGTGAATAGGATGTCAACCCACCAGGGTGCACAGTGCTCCAGGTGCCATGACGTTCCCCTGCCTAGTTGAGATGGGTCATCAGGACCCCGAAGCCAAAGGACATTCATAGAAAAGCCGCAGGAAGCCAGGCCCTTCATACCAGAACTAACACTGGCCCTCACAAATACTTCGACTAATCAACACGAATACAGAATACATACTTGCCCTTATGTCCGTCCTCTGCCTGCGGCCGGCCACATGGCCGTCATGGGATAGGCTGCACTCAATTGCATTTCAAGTCAAGATTGAAATATGTATGTATATACAATATAATGTAATATAATATATATACATATTGAAATACATCCCATGAAATGTCCCAAACTCAAAGTCTTGAACTTCGAACTAATCGACTCATAGAACATCATGAGCGGCTCGCTCCTGCACCGAGGATCCCGGCATTGAGACAAGTTCAGCTCACAGGTCCTGGCTGCATGGGGAACTTCTGGAAGCGCAAGGACATCTTGGAATTCGCCCAAAAGGCTGCACTGAAACTTGGGCACAAACAGCTAGTGTCTTTTCATTAGACCTTTCTCTAGAGATCAGTCATGTCGTGTTTTAGGTGATCGCAGTACGTGCTGCCTCCAATGAGGGTATGACAAGCCCCTGCATGCCCCTACCAACAATTCTATAGCATGGTAGCATGGATCCCTTAATCACCCATCAAATCACCCGGTCGTCCCCACTGAGGTCGCCTTTTCAGATCTTTGGCTTGAGCCTTCACCACCTGTGGCCGTGTGGCCGTCAGGAGTCGATGGCATAGCGAGCTTGCAGGGGGCCACAGGTCCAAATGGATCCGACTGAATCGACCCCTGGGGGGCGAGTCCCTCATTCACCTACGATCTACTGCATCTTCAGGGAAGACAAGGCCCCACATGAGGCGCCAGACCTTCAGCATCTCATACTGCCGAGATCTCCGGCACACGACCAAAAGCTCCTCCCCCCGCTCAATCACGGTGGCTTCGGTCAGTGGGCGATCTTCTGGGATCGGTCAGATCGTCGCGCGCGCGACCGGGCTGCACCGGCTGTTGTTCCATCGGCCCATGTTGTCCTTTCGAGAACACAGGATGTTCTAATGCTCGAAGCCGTCGTGGAAGCCCACTGGTGGAGCAAACGTGGTCCGAACTCGTGCTAGTGCCCAGTCGTTTTAGCGGTTGGAAGTGTTGTATGTCGTTCTGCAGGTTGTCACTGGAACATTGTAACAAAAATGACATCCAACATGGAGATCAAAAAACGCATACTTGTGCAAATGGGTCAAATCCCTTCCACATATATATAGTTGATAGAACTCTTCATCCTGCAGCCAACTTCTCTGATTTATCGTGCCCCGCTTTACCGTCAGATAGACCGACTATAGGGTCGTGAGAAATCCACACAGTGCATCCGGCCTCTTCTCAGTCATGAAAAAGGTTTAGGAGACCTAACCAGGGTCTCCTAAAAAGATATACGCACCAACCAGCCAGGGCATCCCAAACGCTCCATAACATAATATATCTGCCAAGAGAAGTGGTCATGGTGAAAAAAAATGGATATATCCAGAGAAGTAGCCATTGTGAAAAAGATTGATCTATCACGTTATACTACATAATAGTAGACTGAATATTACTGCATATATACCTGCATATATATATATACCGTATACCATTTAAAAATGATATAATATGATCTAACTGTATAATTCATCAGTCTAATTAATCTAGAAAGTCGATAATTCGAATGATATAGACTATGTAGATATGTTCCAAACACATGGGGGTGCTTGGGCCGGGCCACAGCTTTGACCACTGATGGCCCAAGTCCGTGAACGGCCATTGGCCATGTCAGCGATGCGGCGAGAGGCGTCCATGCCACGACCGGTCTGGGGCACTGGTGCATACTGGTGCATAAGACGCATTACATGGGGGGGGGGGTCCGGTGGTGTTTCATGGAAACCGTGGCGTCCGGTGGTTGGTTTCAGGGGTCACTGTCTAACTCTGTATAGATACATGTTCCACATGCAGGGCGTCTGGGGAAAGGAAGGGATCTGAATGGGAACCAGCCACTTGACCACCTTTTGGACAAAACATATTCCGCCAGCCGCCAGCCGAAACGCTGATTGAACAGAGTTGGTCCGCTTTTGTGTGTTCGCTTTTCACGTATGGTCTTCTCATTTCTGTCAGCTTGACTCCCATGTGTCCCCAGCTGTGAAACCAGCAAACCAGCTTGGAGATATCAAATGAGATTTGGTCCGCCGGCATTCGCCCCTCCCGCATGCGCGGGCAAACTCTCATCCATCCAACGTGATGTTCACGAAGGCTTTCTACGTGATCAGGGGGCGTCTTGCCATGCTGAACTGGGCTACTTGCAAAGTAGATGGCTTTGACCAATTGACGGATCACACCATCTTCCTGCCGGAAACGCATCTACTCTGCAAGTCAGGTAGGTCACTGGGTCACCCTCACAAACTGTTATAGCTACTAGAAGCTGATTGAAGTTGAGCTCCAGCAGACCAGCTCGGTGGATAGACCATGTGACTGCAGCGCCTGACGACACCGTGACCATGACGACGTTGTCGGAGGCCGGTTGCGGGAGACGGGCGCAACGACGGGTGGGGTGGTATCAGTGTGCTTCCAACGTGAAGCGGTGTCGGTGTGTATATATATACCTGCGGCCCTGGGAACATTGAAATTTCAAGGGCACATGTAAATTCAATTGAATTTATGTTTTTTTGGAGAATTTCCATGACACAACGGGAATTTACACATCAGTACGCTGATTTACGCCTTTGAACGCCTACGGCTCCGAACGCCCAAAACCACATCCATCCCCCCACACCCTTCACTGTCTTTCATCCTTTGCGTCCTGAGTGTCGCCAGAGCAACTGCACCTGTGTTAGGTACCTCTCGAGGCTTCTTTGAATTCGGGTTCTGGGGGACACTGATCTGGTCAGGAGACAATATCTTCCAATGAAATCCTCATCCATGCTGCATGAAAACGTCATTGGGTTCCACACCCATGCACCAGCCACAGCTTCGGTGGCCATGTGGTGCCAAACATGCCAAAGCATGTGACCCTTTGGTGCCAGACCATACAAACACTGCCGACCCCCAAGACTCAAAAACGCAAGGCGGGAAAAGCCTTGCAGAAAGTGCTTGCAAGCACCATTGAGAACCACTGCCTTCTCTGCAGCGATCCAGGTGCTCTCTCTATACATCTCCCTCATCCAAAAGTTCAAAGCTCTTGAACAGGAAGCCTCACGCAGGCACCAACCACAAAAGAAAGGCGCCAACCGCAAAAGAAAAAACATTTGCTGAAAACACAAAAGAAAAAACATCAGCTGAAAATACACCCAAAGCCTACCCCTTTGCCAAAGAACTATAAGACGGAGGCGTTCATCCCCTGAACTCTCCAGCTCATGCACCCATGCAAAGTGCTCAATAAATTGGCACAAGGAAGTCGTCAAGGCTCCCTTGCTCCATGCCCCATGTGGTTCGCTTGAACCAGTCCACCCCAAAACTGCGCGGTCAATCTTCTGCACGTAGGCTGTCTTGCCATTCTCCTGGCCAGTCGCGGGCAGGAGATTGTTTCTTTTGAGTGTGGGGCCAAGGGTATAGAGGAAACTATATTGAAGCAACATGAGGGTTTCAACATGGGTGGTCACTGTTGACCATGGTTGGTGAAAAGGTTGAGTCCCATGTGCCATGTGAGTCCTTACAGAATTCGATGAACTGCGAAGACAAATTGCGGAGCCTCTCATCTATAGAACTGCCAGCGCACAAATCATGAAGAACCACCGCTGATGACGCGGCAAAGGTTTTCCCAACACCAAGGCTGATGGTGTGAAAGAGGTCTATCAAATATGTCGCTTCCTTTCGGTCTCTCTCATGCATCAAAACCCGGGTAAAAATTGGCTCTTCTTCTTCTTCATTCCATGGGATCTCAGCTCCAAATGTGCCGAGGAAAGCCGGGGTTTCACTCCTGACTGCGTGTCACAAAGAAGGAACACTGTTGAGAGTTTCAAACTCAAAACAAAACATGTATAGGAACATATAGGTCGAAAAAGAAAAGAGTATAGGTCAAACTGACAAGGAACATGTCTTCATAGTCATAGGTTGGTCTACCAGCCAAACACAAATGGCAAATGCCAGTACAAGGTGTTCGAGATGATGGTGCTTTGGGGACATTGCGATAGCTTCGGATCATTTTTCCAGATGTCGCCTAGGCACGGCAACTGGTGTAATCAATTTACTATAGGAAAAGGAGTCCCTGTATCGAAGTCCCACAGTATCATTGTATAAATCGATCAACTCAACATTGTGTGGTGAAAACTCTCTAAGCAAAACAAACTGATGTGTAAATTCCCGTTGTGTCATGGAAATTATCCAAAATAATACAAATTCTTATACATGTGCCCTTGAAAAATTCGAGGGTTCAGGGTCTATGCACAAATTGCTGGAAAATCAGAGCAACGAGGTATGGCCAGTCCCCCTTGTTGCCAATAGGGATGGGGTGCAGGGCTCCACCAGATGCCAGCGGGACCCCTTTGCGGGAGGCTTCATCCAAGGAGGTCAAGATCAGCTCCAAAAACTCATGGTAGAGCTGGCTGTTCTCACGATAGTTTTCCTCAGCATGGAGTCACCCCAAACTATAACCTGAGGATAAGGCTGAGAATGACCCCACACATAAAACCGAAAACATAAACCCTTGACTTCAACCAAGATTCTTTGAGCATTGCCCCCAAAAGCCACCGTGTCTCGAAGGCGTGACCCACAAAATTCATATCGGTTTCATGATCACCGCGTTCAAGAAGAGGGCCCATCTTTTTGGAAGATACCGTCCCACGTCCAAACGGAGAGTGAAATGATACACACAAACATCCATCTTTTTTGTATGTTGTTCCCTCATCTCCATGGATGTAAACTGGACAGCAGTTCTCCAAGCGAAGCACGCCCTCCCTGGCTAAACGGTACACCTCATGGCTTCCATGCATGATCTTATAGCGATCCCAGAATTCCTTCAAGATCGGACCTGCATCAGCAAGTCTGCGGCATGTAGGGCCCAACCCCAAGAATTGGTCTAATTTCCCATGCGCATCCAAAGTTGTGATGTAGGAAGCTGCCTTGATAAAAGGATACTTTGGATACTTGCCAATGGCAGCAAAAGAAATCTCAACATCCAATCGGATTCCATGTCGCGCAAATGTTGTTGCCACAACATCTTCCTCACATTACATTGAGACCACTCAACCATGAGTATAGTTTTCTTTAAACCACAGGTTCTTCAAAGAGTAATATAGGTGGGAACAACGCAAAAGGTGCGGTGCCAAACAGGTCCAGCTTCAGATTTGGCTGGGTCAGCTTGGTAAAGGTCACGCAGAACTGGACAAACAGGAACATGCTGCAGCTGGTTTTGCTCTCGCTTCTCGTTTCGCTGGTCATAGTTTATAATGGATGTGGCAGTTTGAATGATCTGCGTGCAACAAGCCTAAGTTCCATACATTTTCACAAGGAATGGGCCTCATAGTGCCAAGCTAGTTTTTTGGGAAGCAACGCAAAACAAGAGTTGATTGAATACCTTCTGACTGTAGCTCGATCGACCATCCGTCCATGCTTCAAGCGGCTCCTCTGGCATAGCTCCAAGCGAGATCGAGTGCTGCTGGTGATGGACCTGGCTGTTCGACTGTGCGACTTGGCAACACATTGGAGCTGAAAGGGGTCCCCACTCACCAGTGGCCGCATTCGCACTCTTTGTTGGCTGACCAGTTTTGAAGCAACTCTTAGATCGCACAATGATTCAGGCAGCACAGGCTCACATTCCCGGTCCCTCACAGAGTGAAGGTTCTGTAAGCTGCCCATCAAAACGTGTCCACATGAGACTGGCATTCAACCTCAAAATTTGAGCATCCATGACCACACTTTGCTGGTCTGGTTCTAAATGAGTTGAGACCCCCTAGTGCAAACTCACACGTCAGATCCAGCATCGAGCAGCCTGGGATCCAACATGGGATGGTCCACAGGGTGGGGTGTATTGATAGGAGGCTTCACTTCCATTTTGATCATTTTGTCCGTTTCCAGACTATAAAACCAAGCGAGAAACGCAAGAGCTATTTTACTTCTTCGCCTTCACCTTAGCCTTACCCTTCGCTGCAGCTTTGGATTTCGCTGAAGCCGCGTGATCCTCACCATTTTGCCCCTTTGAAGTTCGTGGCTTCGCTTGCAGCAAGGCCAGCCTCATTCTTCCCCAATCATGGTATGGAACGGTCAGTGCAGCTCATGTTTGATGAGGGGCTCTCATGAACTGCTGCATTCATTAACACAAAGTTTTCAGACTAGGAGCTTTTGCCGCGATTCACAGGCGATCAGATCAGCACACCTCAAATTGAAACCAAACTGTTTCAAACAGAAACCAAACAGATCCAAAGTTTTACTGCACTTGTCGTGACAAGCTACGGTTTTTTCGCCGACTCTTTCACCTGGTCCACCTTCTTGCGAAACCTTGGCTGGAGAAGGCACAGGAACACGGCGCATAACCACGCAGCTATAGTTTTCCACAACAGCTTTGACGTCGGTCTGACCACTAATTTGTAAGACCTGCATTTGTTAATTTGGTTGCATTAAATGGCTGTTGCTAGCACGCTTGAAGCTCTGGTAAATGAAGTAGGTGAAGAATGGCCCATCGACTCCGCCACTGACAGACTCACCACCATCACGCTCATTGCGACACCCTGGCGTTCCTCAGGTCTGGGCAACACCCCAAGCCCAGAGCATCTGTGGGCTGCACTGTGCAATCTCTGACCAAACAACACTTCTACAGTACATGCAAGTTGATATCCAAGCTTCCTTTGCATTTCGATATCAACGCAGCTTCCAAAAAAGAGGGCCCGACAGCTTCTGCAGAAGCAAATAGAATGACCATTTTATCCCAGCGTTGGAAGGGATCTGAGCCATATCCATATTTGGGATTCCTGACCCGAAACCTAGGGCAATGTGTCCACCCAAACTTGAACACTAAGGACTAAGGGCCCCTTTTCTGTGGCGGTCTTCTCAACAACAGAGACGGCATGGCGAAGAACCAGGCCGGATAGGGCATTCTTTCTGGGGAGCTGACATTCTAACATAGGGTCTGCAAGCATGCTTTGGAAGCACTCTGAGTCAGGTGAACCACCGAGTCGTCCAAACGAGCAAGGACTTCTCCAAGTCCTTGAGATGCTTTCACCTGTGGGTCAGAAGCCGGATTCTGCAAACACAGTGCGATTAAGAACCAACAGTTCACCCCAAGAAGGAGAATGTCCACAAGGTAGGAAAAGGTATAGTTTTGGGTAGATTGTCATATGTCATTCTTGTTTTGAGTATATAGGTAGCTTTGATGATTCAACGCGGCCTCTGCAGGCTGGGCAACTGCTTCCACCGATGATGATGGCTTCGCCTTGGAGTCCGCTGATAGCAGCTTGGAACCCTGGCCTCTTGATTCACCTAAACGTCCACCCAAACAGAAACAAACACAACGGGCAATTCTTTGAGACGTGTATAGGTTCAGGATCAAA